TGGGGACCAGCGACCGGCCCCAGGTAAGTAAATCTTGCTGACCCCTGACATAGGGAATCAACTACTGGGCAGCAGAAGTAGTGGTGGGTATTACTAAAGTGAAGAACAGCAGTGACACCATAGCCAACATTTGTTAGCACTGCACACAGGGAGGTGTAAGTGGTCCTCCTTGTGTAACCCCCCACCAAGAAAACCCTATGAGGAGATACTGAAAGTGTCACACAGGCAGGACAAGAGCACTAACAGAGATAAAGATAAAAACTAAAGGAAAACACACTTGCAAGAGCAGCTAAGAGCAGTAAAAAATGATGAAGCAAGCAGAAAGCACTCTCAGAAATACAAACCCCATCAGAAGCAGCATCACACATAAAGTAGGGTCATGGAATGTGAGAAGCATGAGCCAAAGGAAGCTAAAAATAGTGAAAATGGAAAGGCAACACATGAACATAGCAGTACTGGGGGCGAGTTTGTTAAAATGGATGGGAATGGGCCACTTGAATAAGACAACCACACAGTGTTCTACTCATGGAATGAAAAGACAAGAAGAAATGGGGTGGATTTCATACGAAGAAAAGATGTTGCAAAAGCAGTCAGAGGATACAATGCAAAATCAGACCGAATCATCTCAATAAGGCTCCACGAGAAACCTATGAATATCACCATAATTCAAGTATATGCACCAACCACTGAGGCAGAGCAAGAATAAATTGTTAGATTTTATGAAGGAGTACAGGATGAAATTGACAACACACCGATACAGGATGTCAAGCTGATCATTGGAGATTGGAATGCAAAGGTTGGAAGTAAAGAAGAATCAAGAACAACAGGCAGATTTGGACGAGGCAAAAGGAATGAAGCAGATGAGCATTTGAGTTCTGTTAAGTCAACAACCATTGCAAACACATTTTTCATACAACTAGAGAAAAGGTTATACATCACAAGATGGTCAACACAAAAACCAAATAGATAACATAACTGGAAGCAAAAGATGGCAAAGCTCTATACTAGTGGACAAGACTAGACCAGGGGCTGATTGTGGCACAGATCACAAACTCCTCATTTCAGAAATAAAACCAAAACTCAAGAATAGAACAAGAACAGTCATCATACCAAAATAAGATTTAAACAACATTAGTACAGAATTCATTGACAATATAGGGAACAGATTTGCAGTACTAAGTATAATAAATTGTGAACTGGAAGAGCTTTGGCCTGAAGCCAGTGATATAATAAAAGAAGAATACATAAAGACATTTCCAGCAGACAAAAGGAAAGTGAAGAAACCATGGATGACAGATAAAATGCTACAAGCAATAAAGGAAAGAAGAGAAGCAAAACAAAAAGAGATAGGAATAAACTAAGAACCATGAATGCAACACTATAATGGCTAGTGCACAAAGATAAGGAAAATTATTACAACAACAAAAAAGGGAAAAATGAGAGACCTATTCCACAAGATTCAAGAAATCAAGGGAAAGTTCAAACCAAGGACTGGAACACTCTACAACAATAAAAAATAACATAATTCAAGACCAAGAAAGAATAAAAAGACATTGGATGCAATACACAGAAGAACTATACAAAACAGATGACAAAATGAAGGACACATGGAGTGAAGAGCCATATGAAAATGAACCCCGAATTCTAAAAACTGATATGGAAGCTGCAATAAAAGAAATAGCAAAAAAACAAGACTCCAGGAACCAATAGAAGTGTTGCAATCCACACTGATAGAGTCAACTCTAATTCTAAACAACATATGTCAACAGATATGGAAACAAGATTGATGGCCAACAGATTGGAAACGATCAATATACATCCCCAGCCACAAAAAAGGGAGACACAAGAGACTGCAGCAACTATAGGGCCATAGCACTAATCTCCCATGAAAGCAACATCATGCTCAAAATACTGCAACATACACTCCAACCACACATGGAGAGAGAAATCCCAGAGGTCCAAGCAAGGTTCAGGAAAGGAAGAGGCACCAGGGATCATGCTGCAAATATACGATGGCTAATGGAGCATAACTGGGAGTTCCAAAAGAAAATCAGCATGTGCTTTATAGATTATAGCAAAGCCTTTGACTGCAGAGATCATGAAAGGCTATGGAATGCCTTTAAAGACATGGTAGTCCCAACACATCTGATAGTCCTGATGAGGGATCTGTACTCAGGACAAGAGGCTACTGCTAGAATAGAACATGGAGAAACAGAATGGTTCCCAGTTGGCAAAGGAGTCAGACAAGGCTGCATCCTATCACCCTACCTATTCAACTTATATGCAGAATATATTGTAAGGAAAGCAGGCTTGGACATGGAAGAGGGAGGAGTGAAAACAGGAGGAAGAAATATAAACAAACTGAGATATTCTGACAACACAGTAATACTAGCAGAAAACCTCACAGACCTGGAACAATTACTAAAGAAGATCAAAGAAGAAAGTGCAAAGGCAGGCTTACTGTTAGACATAAAGAAAACAAACAAACAGACCACAGAGAACTTATACACATTCAAACTAGATAATGAGGAAATAGAAATAGTAAGAGTTCTCATATCTGGAATCAAATATTGATCCGAACGGGGACTGCAGTCAGGAAATCAGTTATCTACATGACCTCCTGACCTAGACGATCACTCACCAACCCTGCCCCATCCTCCCCCACCCCATCCCATTCATGATTCTACTGTGATCCCAATTTTTTTTTGGAGGGAGGGTCAAACCACATTTTAAAAACCATTCTTCCCCCAAACAGTGCAGTAAACTGGAGCTTTTTTTCAATCAGCTTAAAGCCTCTAAGCATTGAAAAAAAAGTGTTTTCTTTTCAGGAGAGGAATGATATGTGTTCCAACAGGACTGAGATCAATACATGGGCACATTATTTAGAATTTCTACATAAAATTTGGAATGGAAAAAACTTTGAATTTTCAAAAAAGAAATGTGAATCACTAGTCTTAGTATACTGTCATGGGCATTATAACCACAGCATGTTAAATGAGTAAGAAATGGCCATAATATTTTACTTTTATTTTTAAGAATTGGCAGTTCATTATTTTTTTACTTATACAGTCTTGTCTATGCATAGCTGGTGGGGACCAGAGGACTTTGGAGCATATATTCTGGGGTGTTTCCTGACTCAATGCTGAAAAAAAACACACCCACATTTGAACTATATTTGCTACATATATCACAAAACTACAAATCCTAGAATTCCACAGCACTGAACCATGGCAATTAAAATGGTATCAAATTGAATTATTTCAATTTGTAGTGTAGATGCAGCCCTAGGTAGAGAAATAAGTGTGCAGACGCAGCTGAACTATGGGATTTTCCACACTGACTTAAAAAAAACTAGAACAACTGCTCCTATATCTCTAGTCACAAAGTTTTGAAAAATAATTAGGCAGTGCATATTTTCAAGAGGATATTGCATGTGGGAGTGTATTTATAAGACCGGGCATTAAAATTTGCATAGCATGATTCATAAAAGCTTTTGCTAATTATTAAGCCTCTATTATTTCCCTGTTGCTGTGTGCCTTCAAGTTTCTGACTTATGGTGACCCTAGGGCAACCCTGTCATGGGGGTTTTGTGGCAAAATTTGTTCAGAGTAGATTTGCCTTTGCTTCCCTTTAAAGCTAAGAGTGTATGACTTGCCCAAGGTCACTCAGTGTGTTTCCATGGCTGAGCAGGGATTTGAACCCTGATCTCCTGAGCTAGAGTCCAACGCTCAAACCACTATACCAGGCTGGCTCTGATTTTCCTACCTAAAAAGAGAAAGAGATAATGAGATTCAAATACACACATAAAACTGGCAGGAAATCCAGTGCTCATAGCAAGATACTGTTATCTTCAATCACAGCAAAACATATAACCAGGTTATACTCTTAGGTGCCATATTATTGTATATTATCATATGCACACACAATTTTTAAAACATCAAACAGCACTGAAACAAGATTGGTATGGATTCAGGAACAATGCAGTTAATAATTTAAAACATACAACAAGCCCTTGGCTGAGGTATGATTCCAGGACCACCTGTGGATACCAAAATTCATGGATGCACAAATCCCATTATATACAGTGGCATAGTAAAATGGTGTCCCTTGTGCAAAATGACAAAAGCAGTTTGCTATTTGGAATTACCAAAAAGCAAACTTTGATTTTGCCATTTTGTTTCCATATACATATTTATATTCCATATACATATTCATATTCATGGCTTGAGATATATATAATCACAGCCAACCAGCCAAACACACATATTGTTAATCTGTCTAATTAGTGGACATTTGGCCCTCTTTTTCCATGGATTCAACTATCCATGGCTTGAATATATATATATTCAAGCCATGGATAGTTGAATCCATGGATAAAGAGGGCCAAATGTGTATGTATATATATATATGGAAACACCTCTGTAAAAGTAGTTTTGCATGCAAAGCATTGTCTCATAGCCCTAACAAGAGAGGTGATAGCCCTGAAAGCTATTTCTATGTTTAAGGGGCATATAATATCTAATTAAGGGTAAGAAATGGAGATCTCTAGAAATAGAGTCTAAGTTGTCTACAGACCCCTCTTTTTTTCCCTATCGTGTGTATATTTACCAATGTGGAATACCTTTTGGTTATGTCTCTTGTTTACTTTGATGCTTTTTTAAAAAAAATGCTAAGGAATGTTTCCACATTTAAAAACATTCTTCATATTAAAACAACTTCTGGAGCTGCCTGGCCTACTTTAAGCTAAAAATAGCCCTTGCTGCTGCTGTTTCTTAATGCATACGCCACAAGACCACCCACACTGACGGAGGGGGATCTCTTCCCTTGCAGTGTCTCCTTGAAGCAGCAAGCAAGCTGTCTCTAAGGCTACTGAGACCATGACTCAGATTCCATTTTCCAGATCACTTTTTTTTGTGTGTGTTGTCTAAGGTTTTTCCATTAATGCAAACTACACTGACCCTAGACGAGAAACACACTGGGCTCTGCTAGGGTTTGGTTCCAGGACCTCCTATAGATACTAACATCCATGGATGCCCAGGTCTCATTATATACAATGGCATAATAAAATGGCATCCTTTTTATAAAATGGCAAAATCACAGTTTGCTTGTATCTATTTTGGAATATTTTTAAGCCATGAATGCTTGTGGTTGAATCTGTGGATAAAGAATTAGTGGATATGGAAGGCTAAATGTATGAAAAAGGAAACTGGAAACAGAAATAAAAGAACTGCTGGCATGTAGGGAAGACAGGGCAAAAGTGTCGATTTCAAAAATGCCAATCCATCCATCAGGTGAGGCCATGATGTGGAGCAGAAACAGTGTGGAAACGGACAGATCAGGATGGATCCAGGCTGGAATGTGACTGGTGATGAGCATCAACTGGTGGGACCAAATGGTAGCTGGTCCTACCATGAGTCAGAGTTTAAGGATGTCAAGCTGTTTCAGTCAGCCAGTTTGGAATGGCATGAAAAGGGCAATAAACATTAATGATGCAATTCATTATTTATACTGCCATGAAAAGGAGGCATTTGTATGATATTGTGGTTTAAATAGCAAAATAATCTGACCAGTCTTGAATACTATGCATTGACTTGGCAAAACGGAGGCTGAGGGAGACATTCTCTGGTCTCTCTCTGGAAGAAAAATGTCAACCAGTGTTCTGGGGCTACTTCACACTACCCAGTCATAGCACTATAATTCTAGGATGCATCTGCACTGCAGAAATAATCCAGTTTGACACCATTTTAACTGCCTTGGCTCAATGCTATGGAATTCTGGGGATTGTAGTTTTGTGAGACATTTAGCTTCATCTGAGCACTCTAGTGGCACAACAAGGCTACGATTTCCAGAATTCCATTGCATTGAGCTATGGTAGTTAAAGTGGTGTCATATTGGATTAATTTTGCAGTGTAGAATCCTAAATTCTGTAGTTTGGGGAGGTTTTAGAGCACTCTGGCTGAGAATTATACATGCCCAATCCTAACCTGAAAACCTTAGGATTCCATAGGATGTTGCAATAGCAGCTAAAGTGGTATCTTACCACTATAACTGTATAGTGTGAAAGGGATGATGGTCAGGGGTAAGTGTGCTTTCTTCTTTTGTTTTTGTACAGCCTTTTGTTAATTTTTCTTCTTTCTTTCTTTCTTTCTTTCTTTCTTTCTTTCTTTCTTTCTTGTTTGTTACTGATACAAGTGTGTAGATGCAGGTAGATACAAAATTATTCAACCATTGATTTGGATGAGGCAGTGTCTCTTGAAGCAATTGATTTACAACATAATAGCAAGAGTTGTATGTGGGTTGTAGGCAGATTTGAGTCTGACATGAAGATAAAGCAAAGGATGAGCAATTATCTTGCACTTTCCCTGGGCTTGTAAATTATTTGTGAGAGAAATGCAAAACCTAGGACTAGATCCTGCCACTTTATTTATTTATTTATTTATTTATTTATTAGACTTATATCCTGCGTTTCTCCCAAAACAGGATCCAAGTTGGTTTAGAATAGTTTAAAAAATAATGCCAGTCCCCCAAAAAACGATTACCAAAGAGAATTATATAACAATATTATGTAAAAACATGGTTAAAGACAATTAAAAATACATAAAACATATTTACAATATAAGTTCATTTAAAGATTAAAGGTTTTAAAATACAGCACACCACACTACAGACACACACACAGACACAGACACACACATACTTGTGGATATGAACAATTTTTTTTCGTCATCAACAAACAAAATAACTGAGCTTGGAAAAGTTACTTTTTTGTACAACTCTCAGAATCCTCCAGCCAAGTGTAATTCAAAAAAGTAACTTTCCAAGCTCTAAAAATTTGAAGGACTTTGGAAGGGAGGTGCTTGAAAGACAAAAGGAATTCATCCAAATTTGAGATAAATGTAAATGTAAAATACTGAAATTGTATAAACATTACCTGGAACCTTGCCTTATCTAAAATTAGACCAACCTTCTAACTGGTGTAGTGTTATTGCCACTAAAGTTTCTTTCCAGGGTTTAAGACTGTAGGAAGAGTCCTGCTGAAAGGCTGGTTTGCCTAGGCCAGTGTTCTGTTCCTATCATGCCCAACTAGATAATTATTTCTATAGACATATATATCCAAAAAGCAAACTTTGATTTTGTCTTTTTATATAAGGGACACTATTTTACTACCCCATTGTATATAATGGGACTTATAGATTTTGGCATCCACAAGGGTCCTGGAACCAAATCCCAGCGGATACCAAAGTCCCACGGTACCTTCATTACTGAAAAGGGAAATGGCAAATAGCTAATTATTTTAATCAGTTAAAATAGCTTAGAAAGTAATTTCTTAAATTACAGACCTAGACTCCCTCAACCAGCATGGCCACTGGGCACACTCTTGGGAGAATTCTGGGAGCTGAACTCCAAATAGTAAGTTTTCTAATAACTTCCAAACTCTGGTCACATCTCAGTTGGGAAGAAAGAGGTTAAAGAGAAGCAGTCTCTTGGAAGTAGAGCCACATTATTAGAAAGCTATGGGTGTGCTGCCAGAGACCCAACTTGGTAGTATTGACATTTTTTGGAAAGAATGCAAGAGAAGAACACTACTTTTTTTAAAAAAAA